CGTGAGAGGTCATCCAGTAGCCGGCGACTGATCTGCCTCACCCAGGAAGAGCACAATGATGGTGCCAACTTGGGCCAGTGAAGCAACGTCCTACACAACTAGACTGAAGAACAAAACGACAGCAACTTGTCTGTTCCCCTTCCCCGATTCCCCAATGCTGTTCCCCTCCCCCAATTCTCCAATAAAATATTTTTTTAAAAAAAGACAAACCACCCAATTAAAAAATGGACAAAAGACTTGAATAGACATTTGTCCAAAGAAGATATATAAGTGGTAAACAACACATGAAAAGATGCTCAATATCACTAATCATTAGGGAAATGCAGATCAAAACCACAATGAGATACCTACCACCTCACTACCATTAGGATAACTACAATAAAAAAACAGAAAATAACAAGCATTGGTGAGGATGTAGAGAAATTGGAACCCTTCTGCATTGCTGGTGGGGATGTAAATTAGTGCAATCTCTATGGAAAATAGTATGGCTGTCTCTCAAAAAGTTAAAAATAACATTACCATATGACCCAGCATATACCCTTTCTAAGTATATACACAAAAGAATTGAAAGCAGGGTCTTGATAAAATATTTGCACATTAATGTTCATAACAGCATTATTCACAGTAGCCAAAAGGTAGAAACAATCCAAGTATCCACCAGCAGGTGAACATATAAACAAAATGTGGTATTTGCATGTAATGAAATATTACTCAGCCTTAAAAAATAAGGAAATTCTAACACATGCTACAACATTAATAAACCTTGAGGACATTATGCTAAGTAACACAAGCCAGGCACAAAAACACAATATGAGGTACCTAGAGTAGTCAAATTCATAGAGACAGAAATTAGAGTGGTTGCCAAAGTCTGGGAGGAAAGGGGAAATGGGGACTTACTGTTTAATGGGTATAGAATTTTAGTATGGGAAAGTGAAAAGGTCCTGGAGATTGTTTGCACAACAATGTGAATAGCCTTACCATTACTGTACTATGTATACACTTAAAGGTGGCTAAGATGGTAACTTAATGGTAAATTTTATGTTATGCATATTTTACATTTTTTAAAATAAATTTTAAAAATAAAAAAATGGGCAAAGAATTTGAATAGACAGTTCTGCAAAGATGTATATATGGTAAGTAAGCACATGAAAAGATACTGCACATCATCAGTCATTAGGGAAATGTAAATCAAAACCAAAACCTACCCACTGAGATAGCTATTATATAATTTTTAAAAAAAAAGAAGTGTTGACAAGGATATGGTGAAATTGGAACCCTCATAAGTTGCTGGTGGGAATTTAAAATGGTTCAGCCACTATGGAAAACAGTTTCACAGTTCCTCAAAAACATAGAATTACCATATAACTCAGCTAGTATACTCCTAGGCATTGAAAACAGGTATTCAAACAAAACTTGTACACAAATGTTCACACTAACATTATTTACAATAGCCAAAAGGTAGACACAACCCAAATGTCCATCAACAGATGAATGGATAAATAAATGCAGTATATCCATTCAATGGAATATTATTCAGCCATAAAAAAGAATGAAACTCTGACACAAGTTGTAACACGGATGAACCTTGAAAACATTATGCTACGTCAAAAAACGCTGCATACTATATGATTCCATTTGCATGAAATATCCAAAATAGGCAAATCCATAGAAACAGGAAGCAGATTAGTAGTTGCCAAGTGCTGGAGGGAAGAGAGAATGAGAAGTGACAGCTAATGAGCACAGGGTTTCCTTTTGGGATGATGAAAAAGTTCTGGAACTAGAGAGTAGTGATAGTTTCACACCATGTGAATGTACTTAATTCCCCTGAATTGCACACTTTAAAATGGTTAAAATGGTAAGTTTTATGTTATGTGTATTTTACCACAATAAAAAAAACCACTAATGAGATAGAAGATTTTTACAACACAATCAAAAGACTTAACATCAATATATATAGGACATTACAACCAACAACTGCAGAATACACTTTCTTTTCAAGTCCACATGAAACATCTACTAAAATCGATCTCTCTCTCTGGACAAAAAAAGCAAGACGCAACAAATTGCAAAGAAGTGAAATCATACCAGGTAAGTTATCTGATTGAAAATATTTTAACAACAACCAGGCAAAAAGACACGTACCCAGGAAAGAAAAAAGAAAAAGGCAAGTACCTGGATCATTCCAAAGCCGAAGAAAGGTGGATGAGTTGAGATCTCCAAGTTCCCAGCTCCTCCTTAAACCCACCACCCCCATTTGGGTCAACAGGGCCTCCCAGACTGCCCTTGACCCTCGGACCCATTCCCACAGCCTCTGTATCCCAGCAGAAAAGAGTTATGGCCACCCTGGCCACAGACCCATCCCGAGGCCTGGGATGTTTGAGGAGCGACAGAGTGAGGGGAGGAGGCGAGGGGAAAGCACAAAGCGGGGGACGCTGCTTCCATGGGGGTCCTTTGGAGAACACACGCTAACTGCAGCAACCAGGCCCTGGGCTAAGGGCTTTACTAGCACTGTCTCCTTAAGCCTCACGGGGACTTTACAATGGGGGAAACTGAGGCTTAATGAGATAAGTAGCTGGCCCCAGGCTACACAGCTATCAGTGTGGAGAAACACCGAGGATCCCTACCGGCAACCCTTGCTCTTGACCATTGAGCAATACTGCCTCCAGAGAGAAAGACAGGATCCTCAATGTCTCGTGTCCTCTAATACGGACAATCCTGCCCACCCACCTGTGATCAATGAAGATGTCGATGTTTCTCTTCAGCTGGGGGCATTAATGTGGGGCCACGGGCAGCCAAGCTCGGGGGTATTCTTGGCCTGGGGTTTCACTGAATAGCTGCTGCGGCCCTCTGAGCAGCTCTTTGCCATGGGGAGGGGCATCCAGTGCTTGGCACAGCAGTGGCTAGGTCCTGAGACTGCCCTCAGGCCCGGCCAAGGGTGGGGATGGCGAGACGGGGGGTATTTAATGCTCCTTTTAAGGTGCGCTAGCAGTACCTGCTTTCCATAAACAGAGTGAGCTGGTCTTAGGGGAACATTAGCCATTAATGGGCATTAGCTCTGGTGACATTCCCACAGAATAAATACATCTTCCCAACCATCCATACTCAGGCCATGGGCCCAGGTGGATATAACCGAAGTTGTCACATGACAATTCTTCCTGCCAAGGTCACCGAGGCTCTCACTCTTCCCAGGCCATGTGCTGCAGTGTCCCCACACCCACCAGACTGCCATCAGCCTGTGGTCTTCACAATCTTGACCCTTCAGGGATCTGCAGGCTGGGCCTTTGGGCTCCCCATCATTTAAATAGTAATACTAACAATGAATATTATTGCTATTCTTACATAATAATATTATTCATAATAAAATCCTTACGAGGTGCCAGACCCTGACACGTGGTGATGTGTATATTACCTATCAGTCTTCCCCAAGGCCCTCTCAGGGAAATCACTACTCCCACCTCATAAATGCAGAACCTGAGACCCAAAGAAGGACAGTGTCCTGCCCAGGGTCACAGAGCTACCACATGGCGGCAAGAATAGGGTCTGAAGTCGGGTCTGTCTCAACTTCTTTCTTTCTTCTACCCAATATGCCCTAGACTTTCCAGGTTAACTCTGGAACCAGACATGCTGGCCTGTTGTCCCCATGAGTCACTAAAATATCCCCAACCCAACAGGTGTGTCTGACCACCCCTCAGTGAACAATGATGGGGCAGTGATTGGTGGGGCCAGACGCAGTGATGGGGGACATGGACGGGGAACATGGAGATGGAGGTCTAGGCTCACAGGGCATGCACACCAGCTACACTTACCACCTGAGGGAGGGCAAGAGAGCCCAAAGAGGGGGTCCCCGGAGCAGACAGAGGGAAAAGAAGGAGTTATTGAATCAGAGCAGCGTTGAGACAGCCCAGGGCCTGGACCAGACACAGCCTCATAGCCCACCCAGGGAACCCACCTCTCATTTCACTGTTTGCCTGGTGGGGAACAGGGTGACAAGAATGCCTCTTGAGGGAAACTGTCATTCGACTGGTAGGGGCTGCCTGGGCCACGGCACTTTAATGGGGCCACATTTGGGCTTGGGGGACAAGGAGTGGGAAGAGCACATGATCTTTTAGCAATGTCTGTCCTGGACACGGCTAGGGGTGTGCATGTTATCTGGCACATCCCAAACTCCCATGTACCTCAGCTGTTCTCACTGCCCTCCTTGGATGGGGGCCCAGGCAGGTCTCAGGTAGATAATCTAGGGCAGGGCCAAGTCTAGACTCGAAGTTGCCCAGCTGCTAGGTCTGCTATAAGAAACATGGCCACTAAGCAGGAGCTTTCAGGAAGGGGTTGGAAAAGGGCTGGCCCCTGGACAACATGGGTGGATCAGTGAGGGGATACGCCCCCTCCCTCCCCGCCAACTCACATGTCCATGCAGGTCCGTGTTGAGCAGCATCAGGGCACAGGTGAGCGTGTGGATCCCATCTAAATCATAGATGGTGGCACCCTCAGTGCAAGGACCCACTCATTTTACCCTCAGCCACACAGAGCCAGCCTGGAGGCCTTGGAGACAGGAAGAGGTCAGCCACCTGCCAAACCTGCCCAGGGTCTGCGTGATGTTTCCTGCCCCACCCCAGCTGCAGCACTGGAGTCACTTGTCTGCCCCGGGTCATAGCCAATCTCTCCCTCAGAGAATACCTGACCACCCTGGGCCTGCACTAGCTCCTGCCTCCTGTGGCCAAACTCACCTTGAACCTCAGACTCGGGAATGGCTGTGAGTCCCAGGCCATAGTCTGTGTCTCCTCTAATAACCAGCCTAATCCCCCAGTCCCTGAGACTCAGCTCCATCCATAGGGCAAGCCCTGTCCCTAAGAAGGCCCTGACCCCAAACCTCACACCAGGATTCCCATACCAAGAATCGGCATTGTGACAGAGGACCAGGGAGAATGAAGACCCAAAGGACTGAGTCTTTAGGATGGAGGACTTTCAGGCATGGGGAATAACAATGGGCAAGACATTTGGGAGGTCACCTGCCCAGCAGGCAGGGCCCATTCCACGTGCCATAGTTTATTCATTCAATGTTTACTGAATAGGACAGGAGTGGCAGGTGGACCAGGGGCAGGAGGAAGCCAAGGTCTGGCTGGGAGGGGCTAGGTGGGTCAGGCAGTGGGGCAGGTGGCCATACCTTCCGAGGTGCTGTCATCAGGGTTGCACTGGCAATACCGGCGAGAGAAGTGAGTAAGAACCCGCTCACGCTCCTGCGTCTCCCCCATCAGTGGGAAGGCCTTCAGGAAGGTTCTGGAGAACAATGTAAAGATGTTGAGGGCCTCCCAGAGCCCCTGAGTGAGTCTGGGTCCTCACCTAGAGTAGGATTCCCCTGCACCCCCAACACACACATGCCTGCCCGAAAGGGTCAATACTCTAGTGCCCAGCATCTGAGCCCAGGGAGGCCCCCTGACCCCCAGGATGGCTTCTGGAGTATTGAGGCCAGGGGGCCTGGCAGGCTTTAGAGCTTCATCCTCATCACCCTCTGGGGCCCTTTTGGAAGTAGGCAGAGGACAGACTATGAAGAACAAAGACAGGGAGCACCTCAGCGCTAGCATCAGCTCTTCTTCAGGGTAAATGCCCACTCCTCGCTCCCTCTGTATGCCTGGGGCCCAGGCTATGCTCAGCTGCCCCTCAGACTGCTCTGCCTCCGTCTTTCCTACTCCTCACTCTACGTAGCCCAGCTGAGCCCAGGCTCAACCATGGCCTCCCTCACTCTTCTCCCACCCCAAGTCTAAGCTATCACCAAGTTGTTCTTCTCCCCTGATCTCAACCCCTCCTCCTCCTCTGCCCTCATCATGTGCCCAGGACACCTGCAACAGCCTCCAGATGTGCACGCCCTGCACCGCCCAACACATCCTCCCTGCGGACACTCAGCGGTCTTTCTAAACTCACAAGCAGTCAAGATTCACCCCTGCTTAAAACACATCACTGGCTCCCCAGAGCCCTCAGAAGAACGTCCAAGCTCCTCACATCCTAGCCTTCCTGACTGCCCCATCTTCCTCCTGTCCCTCCAACCTCATATCCACGTGTTGCCTCCCCAACCATCTTCACATCCTGGACAGGACAAGAGCCTCTGAGCAGGCTGGGCTCCACCTGAAAGGCCCTTACCCCCTCTGCTGGGCAGCTCTGAATCCCCCTCAAGACCCAATTCAAAGGTCACCAGTTCTAAGGAGCCCTGGCAGCTGATCCCAAAACCAGAGGTGCTGGAAGATGGGGCCGGGTCTCTCACCTGGGGGAAATTGCAAGCTGAGACAGCTTGGGCCTCTATCTGCCCTGGGTTCATGAAGTTAGTTTGTTCCTAATTTTGCAACAGTTCATTTGGTTTCTGTAATGCCCCCTTTGCTTTATCTTCTCTCATGCTGCTTCTAAGACCCTGGGAGCTGGGAGCCCCATCTTGGCCAGCCCTTACCCTCTGAGGCTTCCCAAAGCATCCAAAACTGCTGGCCACCCTCTAGTTCATCCCAATCAATCAACTGCTGCACAAAAACACTCTGCCATCTAGTTTTCCTCCTCTCCCTGACTCTCCTGCTCCCTATTCTCTTCCCCACAGCAAGCTCCCAGTTCTGGTCCCTCCCTCTTCTCAAACTCCACCAGGACTTTTTAAAACCCATCCCCCATCCCAGCCTTAGCCTGTCCTACAGACGAGCCATCCATCCCACCTCCTACTCCCCATCCCAAACACCTCATCCCTGGAGGTCTTCACCAAGCCCCAACCCAGCACAGCCGCCACTGCACTTGTCCTCGCCCACCTGACCCTCTTCAGAAGCCTGCACACATCTGAATCAAAGGCCACCAGCATCCTGCTGTCAGCACTGCCTCCCAAATATGCTTTACACCCAGCACCTGCTGTGGCTCCCCAATGCCTGTGCAGCGGAGCCTCAATCGATTGGGCTGACACACAAGGTCCACCAGCCCAGCACCCATACCTCTGATCATGAGCTGACCCAACTAACTCCTTCCCCAACCAATCCTCCTCATTCCAATGCAATGCAAACTTCAGCCTCAGCTCAGGCTAGAGCAGCTTGCAACAGACCAACATGTCCACTGAGAACAATGAGAAAAGTCAGACAGAATACATCTCTCTTAGGCTAACAGAAAACTGCTGATGCAACAAAGACCAAAAGGGCTCAGATTCGGGAGAGGGGAGGTGGGCTGGTCTGCAGCTGCTTATTCCCTGGGGCACTGAAGATTTTGGGCACAGGCAGGAGGCAGAACATTTGATGCCTTCACAGAGCTGAAGAGACAAACCCAGAGACTTGAGGGGCTGTAAGCATATAGCCAGCTTTCCTTTGAGAGATTTGCCAAATTCTGAAGATGTGAAGGATAGGACATAAAAAGCTAAGCAGAAACCTCTGAGAAACAGAAGGATTTGGGTTTTGGACAGTCTTGCTTCATTGAAGAGACAAAATTAGGATTCAGGACCCACCAAAGGAAGAGGCCCCCATGAACACACCAAGCTCCCATGGAAAGCCTAGTGGGCTTTCGCCATGGAATGGGGTGAACCCTGAACCTCTCCTCAGCTCAGCCCTGTTGGGATTAGGACGATGCTCCCTTTCCCACTCTAACTGCCTAACGAAAGACAAGGCAGACCCTCTCTGGAGGCACAGATAATGATCTAGAGCTATTATAATTGTATACAGTATGTACAGCATCTAATTAAACAGTTACTAAGCCTACAGACAGACAGGATATATGATGGAAAACCAAGAGGGGAAACGAGATAATAGAAACAAATACAGATAATGCAAACATTGGGGTGAGCAGACAAGGACTTTGAAACAACCATGACTAATATGTCAAGAAAACAGAGGGGGAAATGGAGAAAACAAGTGAAAAATGGGGGATTCCCCAGAGAATTAGATCTACCAAAAAAATTTTTTTTGATAAAATGAAAATTCTAGAACTGAAAGATATAATAGAAAGTAAAAAAACTCAATAAATGGGTTTAAGGCCATATTAGACACAGGAAAAGGGTAAGTGAACTGGAAGCAGGTCGATAGAAAATATCCCAACTGAAGCAGAGAAAAAAGAATGGAAAATACTTTTTTTTTAAGTATAAGAGACATGTGGGACCCAGCAAGAAGGTCTAATATGCATGGACCACGCAGCCCTTAGCTCAGAGGCTGCTATCTCTCTCCCGAGGGCTCTGGCCTGGGGTCTCCCTGCTGGCCCAGCCACCATGCCTGCTAGACACTGGGCTGCATCCTCCCATTCATTTCTCATCCTCTGCTCCCTGGGCCCCGCGGGCCCTGAGGGTTATTTCTTGGGTCCAAACTGCAGTGGGACCTGAGATCAAATCTTCTCCCATGCTGACTGTGGGGAAGTCAGGGGTGGGGAGAGTCAAATGCATTCCCACTTCCAGATCCTCAGCACCCACCGTATAGCTGGCATCCACTGAGTCGCTGGATGGCTGCTGCTCTGATGGCCCCTTCCCCACAGCCTCCCCCGAGGGGTCAAGACACTGGCCCAAGGTTGCACAGAAAGTTAATGATAGAACTGGCATGAGAATCCAGGCGTGCAGCACCACTTTCCAGTACCACTGACCTGAGCGCTCTGTCCAGAGTCAGGCCTGAGAAGTCAAAGAAGCTGAGGTACTCCCCGGCCACCAGCCTGCTGAACTCGTTGCTGCCAGGAGAGCATGGGGTGTCCATGAGAAGCAGGGCATTACAAACAATTGGAGGTACATGGGCAGTGGGCCCCCAGGTACCCTGACCCACCCACCTGCCCACCCCTAGGCTGCCTCTCCCTGCTGGCCAATTAGGTTCTGACAGTTCAACTTTAGACAGGGGGTCAGGAAGGCTTCCAAGAGGAGGTGACATCTCAGGCAACGTCTACAGGAAGTAAGAATCTGCCAGGTGAAGGGAGTAGGGGGTGAAATGATTCAGAGTGTCCCCAATAAAGGAAACTGCACAACATATCCAAGAAGCTACAGCAGGGCCTTGTGGCCAGAGCCGGAGAGCAGGAACAGGGGCAGGAAGAGATGAGGCAGGGACAGGGCCTCAGGGCCAAGCAAGGGAAGGCTCCAGCCTCAATTCTTAGCATTGACGCAGGGAGGCAAATGAGTGAGATGGTCAGGTCTGTATTGGGAACACTTTACCTGCTGAGTAGAGACCCACCGGGGACTGCAGTAGCTGCCCAGGAGAAAGGTGGAAGGGGTGGGGAGGAGAGAGATTTCAGAGGCAGAATCCACTAGATATGGGGGTGGAACAGTCGTGGGGCATGACAGAGTAGATGGCCCCGGGAGGAGATGTCCAGAGCTCAGGACAACAGATGGGGCTAGATGTACCCATGTGAGAGTCATTGGCCCATAGCTGGTAAATCACAGCACGGTGTGAAGTGGAGATGAGCCCGTGTGAGAGGAGGATGCACAGACAGGCCTGCAGACCCAGCATGGAGATCTGAGGAAGCCCCTCTCAGGGTAGACTGAGGACAGGGAGCCTGTGAAGGAGACAGAAATAGCAACCAGAGAAGCAGGGGTGTGGAGCCTGGAGGCCAAGAAAGAGAGTGTTCCAAGAAGAATGGAGTGATAAATTCTTGCCGAAAGAGAGAACAAATCTCCACCTGAACCTAATGAAGCCCAAGCGCTCCATTTACAGGAGACCTGAGAAATAAAGGAACATGTGAAATAACACCAGAGGATACCAGATCCAAAATGTGGAAAATTTTTCCAGACAAATGGTTCTGTTTCTTCAACAAATATGTGGCATTAAAAAAAAGAGGGGGACTATCCAACTGTTGTTGACTAAAAGAAGACTTAAGATACATATTGGCCAAATGTAATGTGTGGACCTTGTTTGCATCCTGACTTGAACAAACATTTCCGAGACAATCAGAAAAAATTAAACATAGACTGAATATAGAGATAATTAAGGAGTTTTTGTTAATTTTCTTATAAATTATAATGAATTAGGATTATGTTAAAAAAAATCCTTGCCAGAGACCATACCAAAGTATTTATGGTCAAATGACGGAGTGCCTAAAATAGGCCTTAAAATACTTTAGTAAATGGGGGGAGGGCCTGTGGGGGGAGTAGAGGAAATAAGAAGAAGAAAACGTTGATAACTCTGAAGCTGAGTAAAAAGTACAAGGAGGTTTAATATAGTTTTTCTCCCTTTCTGTATGTTTGAAAATTTCATAATTAAAAGCTTAATTAAAGAAAAAGAAAGGAGTGGCCAGTGTGTCAAACCTGTTGAAGGTGAGGTCTGGCAGTGGCCACCAGATTCAAGACAGGCTGCTACTGACCCTGGCAGGAGGGGCTTCTGAGGGGACAGGGTGGGGGAGAAGCCAGCCCAGAGGGCTTGAATGTGGAGAAGGGGAGGGGACAGAGGCCACCCAGGGCAGAAAATCCGAGGATTTTGGCTGTGAAGAGGCTGGGGGAGGAAGACTAGTTGAGGAAGGATTGTTGTTCTCAGATGGAAAAGACTTAAGCACAATTAAATGCTTATGAGGAAACTCTTGCAGAGGAAGGGGTTGAAAAGATGGGATCAACCATAATGAAGGCTTCTGAAGGGTATCATTAGGTTGGGGGCGGGGAGTGGGTTCACAGCCCAGCAAAGAGTGGGGGGCTTGTAGTTGTGATTTCTGAGCTGGAGCTGGAAGGACAAGAACAGGAGTGCTGTGGATGCTGTGGATCGGGGAGGAGGGAGGAGGAAGACAGAGAGAGGGATCCCGAAACAAAGCCAACCACAGCGCCTTCCTGTGGCCTAAGCCCCCAGCTGGCTCACACTTAGGAGTCCAGGGCCTGAACTGTCCTGGTTAGCCTGTGAGCTAGGCCTGCCTCTGCACATCTCAGAGCCTTAATGTGGGTGTTGGGAAGCACTCTGGAGGAAGGGTAAAGGCAGGTGGACATGCTGATGGTCAGACATGCTCAGGATGTGCCAGCCAATTTCCTCAGCCTCACAGTCCCCCAACCCCTCAGGACTCTCATCTGGCTAGTTCCCTTTTCCCCCACTCCAAAGGCCAGGGCTTGTGCTTTGGCGGGCTCAGCCCCAGTCCCAATAGACAGTGAGTGGGGCCTAATGAGTACCAGGAACCCCTCCCCCAGTTCCTGGGTCCCAGGCATCCCCAGCCCAGGCCCAGATTCTCCTCTTCCTGGCCCCATTAGGTGAGCCACTGGACCACACCCAGCTGCGCTATCCTCACTACTACCCATCGTGGCCCCATAACCACTCCTCCAACCCCGAGGGGCCATTCTGCCACCCGCCCCCCACCTCCCTGAGGGCAAGGGCAGCCCAGAAAGGAAACAGATTTAGGGCAAGGCCAGGAATGAGGACAGTGGCAGGAGGAGGAGTTCTTGGGGACTGTTGGGAGCCCCCCAAGCACCAGGCACCCCTGATAGAAGTCACCCACACCCCCTTCAGGCTGAGGAAGATGCCAGGTTTGCCTGGGGTGGGAGGACGCAGGAGACAGGACTCACTTCTTGCCCAGCTGCCGGGCAACGTCACAGCGCTGGAAGCCCTCGAGATGGTAGAGGCGGCGAGCCAGCCGGCGAGCAGCTTCACTGACCCCCTGGCACCCATTGGCCAGTGTGTCTGTGCTGCCAGGCTCTAGCCCCTCTGAGCTGCTCAGCTCTGAGTCTGAGTCCGACAGGCCATCCTTTAGACTGGGGTCGCTGCGGAGGGAAAATGGGTGTGGGAAGGAGGGGCTCAGAGGCCCTGGGAAGGAGCTGAAAGGGCTCCCCAGATCTCTGAAAACTCACCAGAGCAAAGAAAGAAGCCCCACTGAACCAGGAGGTAATTGAGTCAGACTTTTAGAAGGGCCCCATCATCAGATGCTCCACAACCCACAGCATAGCTCCCTGGCCCCATCGGACTAGAAAGGTCTGGAAGGGCAGAATTGGACCCTCAGGACTGGGGCAGGAAGTCTGGGTGCAGAGGAAGGACACAATGACCGTGGAGAGGACTGTTCACTCTGGGCACTGGGTTGCCCTAACTTGTTTTGCCTCCTCTGGGTCTGTTTCCTCATCTGCTCAATGGTTCTCCCAGCTCCCAGCCTGGGCCCTGCCTCACCTGGTTGAGTTCAGCAACTTGTCTGTGTCTTCTTCCTCCTCCTCCTCCTCTTCTTCCTCCTCCTCCTCTTCTTCCTCCTCCTCCTCTTCATCCCCGCCTGGGCCCCGGGGTCCATCTTCATGGAAGCCATTGGGCATGGCCGTGAGAGACAGGCGGCTCAAAACATTCTCTGAGCGGCTGCTGGAGATGGAGCGCCGCAGGGGGCTGCCCAGCTCCCCATCACCACCAGCTGCTCCCATGTCCCCCTCGGGCCCCATATCCCCAATGCCCAAGCCAGCCCCTGGCTCAGGGCTGTCACGCGCCCGCTGCTGGATAAGGGGTGTGAGGGGGGCCTCAAAACTGACGCAGCTGTCGCTCTCGTCTGTGAGGCTCAGTACATCTAGGGAGTCGAGGCTGCTGTACTGGGTACCTCGCAGCAGCTCCGACTCCACAATCTTCTCAAACGTGGCACTGAAGCCGTCCCGCACATCTGGCCCTCCAGGGCTATCCAGCCTGCAGGATGCAAGAACCAGTCAGCATCCTACCAGGGTGTCCCCCATTGCATTACAGGTGTTGGGACTACACCAATCTGTGCCTGGGAGCTCCCCGGGGGCAGGGACCAGGCATGGATTGTGTTCTATTTATTCTTTCAGCCAATACTTACTGAGCACTAGATTCCAGATGCTGGGCTGGGTACTGGGGTACAGCAGCAGAAAAGGACAGACATGGCTTGCCCCCCAGTGCTAAACCTGTGCCTGGCCCGTAGTAGCCATAGGTGAATGATTGTCAAGCCTCTTCCTCCAGCCTGGCCTAGGGGGCTACTCCCCTTATCACAATTAGTGTCACATTGGGTCATAATTTTGCTATCCTCACAGCCTGGCAGGTGCTTAGCTTGGCCAACCCTAGTCTAGCTCTCAGGCTTTGCCTTAATGTCACCTCCTCAAAGAAACTGAGGGAGGCAGGTCCACACCACCCACCACACTGGTCCCTCTCATTATTCTCCATCCTCAGGGTAACTCTTCATGTCCTCCCAACCCCTATCAGGATGTAGTATTCTTATTGTTCCCTTGTTTTCATCTGTGTCCCAGCCCCCCAGCCCCCCACCCCCAACTCCACACACACACAAGGCCAGAAGTGCCCGGCGCACAGCAAGTAGTCAGTAAACCTTGCTACAGGGCGTACTGGGTGAATGAACAGATGTTTGTAGCCCCGTGACCCACCACGCTGCCTAAGCTCTTGCAGGGGCCTGTGCTGCCCCCAAAAGAGGTCTTTGCGCTAGCTGTTCCCTCTGCCCAGAGTATCTTCCCTCAGGTTGAAGTCTCCTTCCTCCTCCCTTTCTCAATGAGGTCTGCCTTGGCTGCCCTATTTATAACTGGGACCTGCCCCCAAACACCCCAGCCCCCTTTTCCTACTTTATTTTTTCCAAAGCACTTATCCCCCTCTAACATACTATATAGTACTTTATTATTTTATGATTTATTATGTGTCTCCCCACTAGGCCGTAAGCTCCATGAAAGTAGGAATTTTTGTATGTTCTCCTCACTGATGTAGCCCCAGCACCTAGAACAAGGCATCACACACAAGTGAACTGAAAAACTGAAGCATCCTGAAAGACTGTAACCACTGGAGAGATGCACAGGTTAGCAGGGAGGTCCAGGAAGGAAAAGGAGAGAGACTGAAGGAGAGTGAGACCAAGAGAGAGAGACAAGAGAGAAGAAGAAGAAGAAGAAGAAGAAAAAAAAAAAGAAGAAGAAGAAGAAGAGAGAGAGAGAGAGAGAGAGAGAGAGAGAGAGAGAGAGAGAGAAACAGTGACAAAAAAGACAGAGAGGGCCAGCCGAGTGGCTCAGTTGGTTAAGACCACAAGCGCTGAGAAACACGGTCGCCGGTTCGAATCCCACATGGGCCAGTGAGCTGCGCCTGAGCTGAGCTGCCACTGAGCTGCCAACAGGTGGCAGGATGGCTCAGCTGGTGAGAGCAAGTGCTCCTAACAACAAGGTTGCTGGTTTGACTCCCACATGGGATGGTGGGCTATGCCCACCCGCAACTAAGATTGAACACAGCACCTTGAGCTGAGCAGCCGTGAGCTGCCGACAGGTGGCCAGATGGTGACTGGACTTGGAACTGAGCTAGCTGCGCCCTCCACAACTAAGACTGAAGGACAACAAGTTGGCTGTTCCCCTTCCCCAATTCCCCAACCTGTTCCCCTTCCAAATTCCCCAATAAAATATAAAAAAAAAAAGACAGAGAAAAGAGATACAGAAAACATAACAGAGACAGGAAGACAGAATAGGAAAGACAGAGTAATAGAGCTAAAGAGAGACAAAGATAGAGAGAGACAGAAACATAGAGAAAGCAAGAGGAAGAAACACAAAGAAAGAAGCAGGCTGAGACTGACCCACTTCAGATAAACCAAGGCCCATCATTTGCAAAGAAGCACACCCCTCTCTCCCCCTGAGGATCTGGCTATGCCCAGCTTCTGCCTCAGGCCCTGCTACCTAGCAGAGACTGAGCTGTATTTGGAGGACTAGGAAGTGTCCGTTCCCCTCAAACACCTCGTTGGAGCACCCCAGTGTCTCAGGTGTGGTCCCAGTGTGTTTCCTGGAGAAACATACTGACCTGAGAGAGAAAAGGCTGTCTTTCACCCCAGTCCCAAAAGGAGCTAAGACTCCTACCAGAAAAAGAGTGGGAAGTGGGCAGAAATCTAAAAGATGGCAGGATGCCTTGCAGTGGACTGGAGTGGAGTCGCCTTTACTGACCTCCAAGAGGAGGGGAGGGAAGGGAAGAGTCACAGAGCAGACACCCAAATCCACCCAGCAAAGGCACCTTTGCCAGGGCTGTGCTGGGTTCTGGAGACACCTGAGCAACAATATAGTCTGCCCCTGTGGGGGCTCTCACCTCATTTTCAGAGCCATGAATGGTCCCCCACACACACCCATTATTTCCCACCCTATCAAGCACCTGAACAGAACTGAGGGATGGTTCTTGCAGGGGCTTAAAAACTACCATCCCAGCCTCCCAAGTTCCATGTGCCCCCCAGTTTCAGCCATCCCAAAGAAATATGCAAACAGTGTGCTCCAAGAAGCCCCGGCCCGCTGCCCACACCCCACTGCCAGCCAGGTGGCACCCTAGGAGCTACTTGGATAGAAATGTTCTTATGGACACAGCATATCCACAGGCATCCGACCCTGCATAATCACATTGCTACCCACGGAGACCTAGGCACACGCAGCCCTGCACACCCACGTGCAGACTCAAATGTGTACCCACACATGCACAGGCCAGGCACACACAAATACCCCCCACCCACAACCATACAGACTCATGTGCACCAACATGCTCACACCTCCCTGTGCACACACCAATCCACAGGCCAGGCACACATATGCACATCCCACACACACACAGTCACACACCTCCCATACACTTGCCTGTCCAGACCAGGGCCTACTAACATTTCTCTAAGCTTTCTTTTTTCAGCCTACCCTGGGGTCTTTTAGACATTTCCCTGCCATCCCCACCCTCCTTGTCCAGCTGACACTGCCAAGACACCAGTCTCTCCACCTCTGGCTAAGGATAATAGAAGTGGGACTGCAACTCCAGTAAGTAGGACTGAAGTGAGATTTCTGGTAGAACTTCCAAATGCCAGTCAGTGTAGCTGATAGGGATTAACCCACAAAGCCTACTCTCCTGAGGTCAGTTGCAGAATTGGGAGATCCTCATCTCCAGGAAGCAGAGAGATGGACCAGATGACCTTCCACATCAAGGCATTTTTGGGACTCTAATGTCCAGCCTGGGATTAAGAGGGCATGGCCTTCCAACTCCAAATAGAAACAGCCCAAGGGAACTGAGGGTAGGGGCACAAAAAGCCTATAGGCCTTTGAAATCTCATGCCTCTATTTTCCCAACACCCAGAAGTTAGGCAAAAAGGGGCATGAAATTCCCATTTTATGGATGAGAATAACAAGAACTATTCTTGTTATTAGTAGCTAGGACCAGGCCACATAGCATTAGAGCAGCCAAATGTGGTGAACCCCTATCCCAAGACCCCCACTTACCCCAGCTGAGGGTCCTCAGTGTCTGGACAAAGGCTCCTGGAGGCATCATCCCCTTCCGCCAGCCCACCAGCCCTCCAGGGTCTGGACTCTGTGGAATCCGCCAGAATGTTCAAGTCTGGCCCCAGGGCTAGGCCATTGGTGAGGGAGAGGCCAAGGCCGAGGCTGTGGAGGGCCATGTCTGGGACCTTGGCGGGCTCCTCAGTGTCCATCAGAGTGCCCCTTATCTCATGTCCTGTGGTGTTGTGGCTACTATTCAGGTCCTCACTGGCTGTCATTCCGTTCTGGTCCCCAGGCTCCTCTTCAGGCTCCAGGCTGGGGTCCCAAGTGGCACCATCTTCCCCAGGTAGTACAGATGGGAGCTTATCCTCATCCATGGCAGACACTGCTTCTACCCAGTGCTGGCAGCTCCTGGGACTCCACTAGACCTGGCAGCAGATGGAGAGATAAAGGGGTGAGTCAGACAAGGCAGGTTTTGGGGGTTCTTAAGCCCAGCAGAACCAACACCAGGCAGCCTGCCTGGGGAGAGAAGGCTGGCCAAGATGACCTTGTCAGGACCTCCCGGCTGGAACCTGGGTTCAGGCCATGATGTTCTCAATGTCCTGCTCAGGCCAGCCACACTCACCTCTCCCCTCACCCCCAGCCACTCCATGTGCCCCAGTCCTGCCTTCCTGTTACCTCTTATGTATCTCTGTTGTGCCTTCCAGAATTCACCAAAGCCCCCTGAGGAAGGCTGCAAGGGATTAGGGAAGGGTCAGGACTCCTCCAAGCCCTCTTCCTCTCCTGCTGGTGAGTGATGGAGGCAAAACCCCAATCTGACAGCAGCCAGCCAGCCCGCTTGCCTCTTTCCATGTTCCCTTGCCCCGGCTCCAGGAGCCAGAGAAGAGTGAGTCTGTGGCGAATGGAGGGAACTGGGCTGGGGGCTGCCTTTAGAGGGAGAGTTAAGAGAGGAGGCAAAGAAGTCAACAGAAGTGCAGCTCTTTCTAAACAGAGGGCTACCCCCAGAGAAGCCAACAGGAGGCCCGGGAGGTGGCCATCCTGTGGCCCGGCGTGAGGCGCTGTCCAGGGTGCTGGGCGGGTGAGGCGCCACCCGGAGAGCGAGGCTGCCTCCCATGTCCAGATCCCAAGGCACTGGCTGTTCCGGGAGGAAGGAGGAGGGGGCCTCCGGTTCCCCTCCACACCGATCCCGGAACTCACCCAGCCCTGAGGAGGGACTCGTGAGGAGGCTGCCGTGGGGCACTCCGGGGAGAGCACTGCAAAAGGGACTCAGGCCCTACTCTGCCCTACTCGCATGGGTCCAGGTCGGGCCTCCTCACTGCCCCATGCAGGCCAGCCCCACTCTCCCTCTGTCCTGCTCTGGGTCTGTTTCTCCTCTGTAAAATAAGGAGTACCTACCATCTCCACACCCACCCCCTTTAAAAATGGATGGGAACCAGCCCACATTTCGCAGAGACTTCCTACCCAATCTAATCCTAGGTGGGAGGGCAGATGCAACGGGCTGTGCTCTGGCTCTCCCCTCTTCCCTCTCTGCCCCTGACCCCACCAAGTCTAAGCCATTTCCCCCCCCCACCTCCCCCAGTGACCTCTGCCAGCAGCCCCTCCAAACAACTTCCTTCCTCCCCTCTTCAGGACTCAGCTTCCCCCAGCACCCTCACTCTCCTCTGGAGAAGGGGTGGCAGGTGCTCAGGAGAGGCAGAAGGGAGAGAGGGGCTGGCCAGTCTTATGGGCTGCAGCAGAATAGGCTGCAGGTATAGCCACAGGGATATCCCCATACTGCCTGTAGTTGCCTGGTCATAAGTGTCACCTGAGGGACTTGTTAAATTACAGATAATAAGGCCCTTCCGCCAGACCTCCTGAACCATAATCTATGGGAATGGATATAAGTATTATTATTCTTATAACAAGGCAAGTTTGGTAAACACTGAGTTACACTCCAGGAGAAACTTCCTTCCCACTTAGAGAAGGGTCCAGGACTGGAGAGGAAGGTGAGTCTACTTTTCTGGGGGTTTCAGGCCCTTGAAGGGAGCTCTGCCACCACAAGACCACTTAAGATTCATTTAAGCTCAGTTTTCAAACATAGAATGAAAGAGAAGAGGGCAGGACAGGCGGGGATCTGAGGCCCCAGCCTACTCACCCTGAGTGTCACCTCCTAGAGCTTTGAAGACTATGAGCATAGATCTCACTTTAAAAAAAAAAAACTTTCATAGATTAAAAAAAAGTCTGGAAAGACAGGCTGTAGCATATCTGGGCCTGATCCTAGGACACCGGGGACCCCAAGAGGCTTGGCCCTAAGGGAGGGATTCTTTCTGCTCTGCCCTAAATCCCTGCTACTATTTCACTCTGTCCCATCAGGTTGTGCGCTCTGAGGAGGGAGAGAACAGGTCACCTCCTCAGCTGAGGCTCCTGGAGGGTGGGGGAGCACCGAGAAAGGACAGAGGAGGAGAGTGGGGCTCTCTGGCCTGTTTCCTGCGTCCCCTGGCCTGCTTTCTAATCCAGGGGCCTGGGTGAGCATTGGATCTGGGGCACAGGGCTTCACCCCATTCCATCAGGGTGCCCCACGCTCCCACACCCATGCATGGAGGCTGAGCCCATGGGGTCCCTCCCCTTTGGTCAGGGCTCTGCCTGAGCTCTCAGTGAAGCCTGAGATTTGAAAGTATAAACGGCTTCACCTGATGCTGAGTCTGCAGCAGCCCCAAAGCCAGGGTATGGACAAATCAAGGACTTCTTGGGAGGCTCCTATGTCACCCCGCAAATTCCAGCAGCTGCCTCGGGATGGCTCTAGCCCTACCTGCCCTGCCATGTCCTCCTGCAGCTAGGAATGGGATAGAGGTTCTGCCAGTACTGGGCACTGGGCCGTGTCCTCGGCTTCTGGGGATGAGCAAACAAGGAGCAGCATTGAGCTCCACTCTGGGCAGAGGACCCAGAGTCCCTGACTGGGCTAAGGGCCAGCTGAGCCCAGAAATAGCTGAACCAGGACTGCCCCCTCACTTAATGAGCCCAAGGGCGGGGTACATAAAGGGGAGCTTCAGAGAACAGTGTGAAACAATGCCCCAAGTCCTCACTATGAACCACTATGTTCCCTGGGATTCATCATTGTTCTTTCTGGCCTTTGAGGACCCATCTGCAGAATGGGGATCTCACCTCTGCTCTCCTTCCCAGGGCTGGTGGGAGAACTTAACATCATGAACGCTGAGAGAGCTGAGATCCAAGGAAGAACAAACTCCCTACAGAGGTCAAGGGAAAAGGCAGCTATGGTCCAGTCTTTCTACCACTACATTTGACTAACAGGGAGACTGAGGCACAGAACCAGGAAAGGCTTTGCCTGAGGTCACACAGTAAGTAACTGACTCTAGAGCTCGGGAGTAACTTCACTCTGCACCTGGATGGGTTGGAGGTACAAGATGAGCATCCAGTTTCCCAGGCCTTCCATCAGACCCTCCCATGAGATCAAGGGCTCAAATCCTCAACCAGAAGAGCCCACCCGAAGCAGTGACCCTGCCCACCTCCAGCCCTGCTGGCAAGAGCAGGGGAGGTGGGCACTGCTGGTCCACAGGGCCCCTCTCCCAAGGAGATGCCTACAAATGACAGGTTGGCAAGTGGCTGGACCCCCTGCACCTTCTCTTGGGCTGACCAGGCCCTATTCCAGACAGGGGCTCCCGCTAAGCACTGCCCTTGGGATGACCTTGGTCTCAGCAGCCTTTTTTCAGCACCAACGAAGATGGGGCCCATGACGATAGTGGAAACTCTGGCTGGGCCAGGGCTAAATGCCAAGCCAACCACTTTTTGGGTTTCAGCTGCTTCTGAGACAACTATGTCCCCCACCCCACTCTCCCTATGGCAGGAGCGAGCTGTGAAAACACAAATTACATCATATCGTTCCCTCACTCATAATCCTCCAATAGCTTCCATTACCCTTCAATTAGAATCTGGTCTCCTCAGCATGGCCTGAAAAGGCCCCGCCTGAACTGGTTCACTGCCCTCTTCCCATCCCCCACCCCATCAGCCACGTGGCCTTCTTTCTGCTCCCTGAGTTCATTCCCACCTCAGGGCCTTTGCACCAGCTGTACCCTTGGCCTAGAATGCTCTTTCCCTAGATTTCTAAAGGACTGCCTCTTCTGTCACTCAGGGCTCAACTCCAACACTGCCTCTCTCAGAAGGCTCTCTCTGACCACCCAGCACTCTCTCACACGCCTCCACAAAGCAGCATATCTGCTAAGCATCGCTTAGCATGACTGAAACCTCCTTTTCTATTTGTTTCCTTACTTCCTGCCCATTTTCCTCACTAGGATGTAAGTTCGGTGTGGGTAGCGACTATGTCATGTTCGCTGTTGTCTCCTAGCATGGTTCCTGGCAAACACTGGGCACTTTTTAAACATTTGGAGATGATCATCTACCCCATGGTAGGCAGAGGCTGAGAGGTTGAGAAACAAGCTCAGGGTCACACAGCTGGAAAACGGCAAGGCTGGCATTCTGCTTGGAACGATGCTGGACTCTAGGGATAACCTGGTACAGTGCCTTCCATGCTGGGATCCAAGCCAGGGACTGTGGGAAGCCCAAGGAAAGGGCTGGAGGGGGGGGCCCAGCAGGGAGGGCTCCAGGGTCCAACTTGCTCTATAAGACAGAGGGGAGAGTGGATGCAGGCGCTAGTGTGCATGTCTGTGAGCAAGTGTACGGTGCAGGCATCTGTGGGCACACACACACATGCACACATGCGCACACACGTGCACACATGCACACACGGAGGGAACTGGGCAAAGACTCAGAAGGCAGTCCCCCTGGGTGGTGAGGTGGAAATAAGGAGCCTACAGGCCTAGGGGCAAGGTTCAGGGCAGTAAGACCTACATCACTGAGCAACCGGGGTGGAAACCATTCTGCTTGGGGAGAAGCCAGGGGCAGGGAAGGGACAACCCAGTGCTTCAGGCTAGGTTTGGGGTAGGGAAGACAAGCACCCACACTGACCACAGCCACACCCAATGGCATCAGATAGCTGGGTGGGTTTGGGAGAAGATGGGCGTGTATAGGCTCACTTGGTAGAAATAGGGGTGCAGGAGGCAGACTGGGATGGGGACTCATGGTGCTGAGCACTACCTAGGACAGGCAAAATCTAAGTGCCTGTGGGATGCTCAAGGGTGTTGAAAGTCTAGGTAGGGTGTGTGGAAGGTGCTGGGACCAGAGAAAATCGTTCTAGAATGTCAGTGTAGAGGCAAAATTAAGACCACAATTGCCCCAAAGAGCAGGGCTGGGAGCCAGGATACTCAGGTTTTATGTCCAATGTGCAAGGGAAGCTTGGGCAAGTGAACACCCTCATTTCCCATGTACATCAGAGATCCCTAACTATTTGCAAGCCTTGGACCTCTTTGAGCATCTGATGAAGCTATGGCTCCCACCCCAGACAAACTGTCACATATGTGCACATTTTGCATGTTTT